GACATTTCCGTTCATGTTTGAGATAAAAGAGATGATAAGGAGGAGTTGGCTAGGCCAGATAGGCACATTAGCATCCACAACTGTGTTCCAAAGCGTTTCCCTGTAAAAGCTGTTGATTCCAAAGCCTGGGATTCATTGCTGAAAGCGGATGCAGAGATTGGTCAGGCATGTTTGCCGCCCACTAGAGCAGGGGTCAGCAACCTTGAACACTCAAAGAGCCATTTGGACCCGTTTCCCACAGAAAAGAAAACACCGGGAGCCACAAAACCCTTTTGACATCTAAAATGAAGATAACACCTCTTATATATTGGTTTTTACCTTAATGCTATGTATAGTATGTATATAGGTATATGTGGGCTTAGTAACGCACTGGACTCTGGGCTTAACTGACACCCTGCAGAGCACACCATAGATCCTGCACAGCCCATCTGAGACTCTCTATGGTGGGCTCCACAGGGCCTCAGGTGGGCTGGTCGCCGGGGTCCCTTTCCCTGTACCTCCTCCCAACTCCTCTTACCTGTTGCTGCTGGGGCCTGGCCTCCTCCACCCCCTCCCCTGTCACCTCTGCCATGCCGCCACTGGTACAGCTGATACTCATGTAAGAGGCCCCCCTCACATGGGTACTGGCCGTGTCCCCCCTGATGGCGGTGTTCTATCAAAGTTTGTGACTACGTTACAATGTGTGACGGGTGACATGGTCACACATTTCAATGTAATCCCGCCCAGTTTTTTGGCGGTGGAATGTGTGACCGCCAATAGGTGAAGCATTGCAGCGCTTCCTCAGCTGTTCCAGGGCAGATCGGCATTGCAAATCTTATATGCAGGAGAAGCGACCTGGCCTGGAACAGCTGATCGGTCCTGAAATGTCACTTGACTCTGCAACTGCGATCACACATTCCACCGCACTCACAAAGTCAGATAGAAGTGACATTTCAGGACCGATCAGCTGTTCCAGGGCGGATCGGTTCTCCTGCACATAAGATTTGCAATGCTGATCTGCCCTGGACAGGGAGCCGCAGCAGGGGGATGAAAGAGCCACATGCGGCTGCGGAGCCGCAGGTTGCTGACCCCTGCACTAGAGGAATCAGTGACTTTTAAGGATTTAATGGACCACAGGGTGGATTGGGTCTTGAAGAGAATTTACACCATGACATGGGTATGGCATGCAAACTGACAGTGTCCATAGCTAGAGCACTTAAAGTGATATTAAAGTCAAAAGGTTTTTAAGCAATTTCAGATGCTGATGAAATCACTTACAATGGATGCTGCTCCGTGATGTTTAAAAGTTTTAGCTTCCTGCAGAATTAACTGGTTCCCTGAGCACTGGTCCTGATATCCTGTTCTAGGGTGGCTCCTTTCCCTTGCATGGTCGCATGGATCCATAATTGTTTGTAAGCTGTGTGTGTCTCCTCAAACACAGCAGGGCAAGCCACTCCTCCTTCCTCCATTCTAGTAAATGACAAACTACTGGAGACTAAGCTGTCCCTTGTGATTTTGTACTGAACAGGAAGTTCAGGGGAGCAGAGCTGAGAATGTTGGAATCATGATAAACATGATGACTGCAAGTGCTTGGGCAAAAATATAAATAAATACTTTGCTGGGCAATGCATATTTGTTTGATCTGGATTAATTATAGAAAAAAAAAGTTTAAGAGTTTAATAATACTTTAAAACTTGGACAGGAAATACTGAGATGGAATTGGGGTCAGGAGTGGAAAGAGAAGCTATTAGCACTGTGGTAGAAGAGTTAAAACTTTGTTCAGGCTTCATATCTTACAGGTATGCAGAATACACTAGCCACTTCACTAAGTTGCCAGTTTGTACAGTATGAGGAATGGGAAGCAGCGGAGATAGATCTATTGTTCCCAGGTGCCGGAACAAGATGCACAGTCAATACCATGGACATTTATTTTGGTGTATGCCTTTCCCCCTGTGATCCTCATCTTATGTGTGTTGCTGAGCATCTGGTAGAAAATCTGGGAGAGGGTTCAAGCCATTTCCATCCTAACATGCTGCCCAAGGCGATCTTGGTTTCCACTTTTCTGTCAACTAGCCTTGCCTCAGAGGAGGGACCTACTTTCCCAGAACAATTTTCTTCCTCTAGACATCAAGAGGTTGAATTTCATGGCAGTTGAATGGAGCCGCTTAAGCACTCTCAAAATATCCTTGCTTGGGCGCCAGTAACAGAGACCCTGCTCAAATCCAGGAAACCACTGATAAAGACTTCATACCATAGAATTTGGGGAAAAAAATATTTTGAACATAGAGATTGATCACCATCATCCGAGTACATCTCAGCTTCTAGAGTTTTCTTCAGTCAGCTCAAGATGTGGGACATAGTTATTGGACCTTAAAGGTACAGTTGTTGTCTCTCTCCACTTTAATGGGAGCCCGATGGGTGATCAACTGTCTGGTGGCTCAGTTCATGGAAGCAGCCATAAAAATCAGTCCTCCAGTTAGATCTGCAATCCTAAAATATGACGTGTATTTGGTCCTAAACAGTTCTGTGGAAGTGCCTTTTTTTTCTGTTGGTCAAGATTAGATAACTAAATTCATTAAAGACATATTTGCAGAGAATGGATTATTTTTGGAAAGTAGATTATCTCTTCATTTTTCCCTCAGGTCTCAAAAAAGGTACGATGGATGGCAAGGCCTCATATTTTTTTTAGGGGGATTGTTAATGCTATTTAAGCCCTCATTCACACGAGAAACGGGCAGCCCGTACAGATACGTGCTGCGTCCACGGCCGTATCGGGCCGCTCTTGGGAAAGACAGGTGCTTCATGTGATTACACGCAGCAGCCTGTCCTTCTCTATGAAGTATGCGGCCGAATGCCACCCTACCTGCACGTCCGTACGGGTGTGGGTGTCCCTGCTCAGACGCAGACAGGATCCTTCCTGTCAGCATACGAGCACGGACACCCGCACGGACATGCAGGTCGGGTGATCGTAGGGCCCTGTGCAGCCGCATACTCCCATAGAGAAGGACAAGCTGCTGCGTGTAATCACACGCAGCACCTGTCCTTCCAGGGAGCGGCCTAATATCGCCTTGGATGCAGCACGGATCTGTACGGGCCAGCCGTTTCTCGTGTGAATGAGGGCTAAAAGGTTAGTTCACTTTTATTTATGTTGCTGTTCTGGGCTCCCCCTCTCCTCCCATTTAAGGCAGGACAAACTGACTGTTGGATGTGCAGCCACAGCTCCTCATAAACAAGCGCTCAGCTAGGAGATCTCGGCTTCCCTAACCGCACATGCGCAATCCACTTTCTCTCGCATCGGCTGAGCTCAGTGCTCTGCGAGTGACGAAGAAGGAGACTTCGCCGGTGTGGTTAGCCAAGTCGAGTTGTTTTAGAGGAGTGCTTGTTAATGAGGAGCTGGGGCTGCGCATCCAGAGAGGGAAAGCGCACAAGAACAGTGATAAAAGTGAGCATCATTTTTAAAAACCGCAGGCAGCATTTTAATATGTAGCTTAATATTGCAAGCTGTAATGTTAATAGATTTCAGACAAAAAAAAAACATTAAAGTGAACTAACCCTTTAAATGTGCTGGCTGTATCATTTCCTTTTTTTCGTCACTAGGTGACGAGGAAGCATGGAGCCGGCCAATTTGGAAGCTGGGGGGGGGGTAATAACTTCCCCCTGGCCAGCTTCCCGACCAACTCCCTTCTCGGTGATGAGGGGAGCATAGAGCCGGCTTCCCGCCCAATCAGGAAGCCGGCCAGCGTGTAATGACCCGCCGCCCGGCTTCCTGATACCGGAAGTTCTATATTTGGATAGGCATCGGGAGCACTTGGACGAGTATTCGCCCAAATACACGGTATCAGCACCGATACTAGTATCAGGACATGCCTAAGGATTTCAAAAAGCTTGCATTTTTAGTAACCATAGCCAATAGAGGGTATTGCATTAAGCCCAAAAGTTCTGCACAAACGTGAAGTACAAAACACATCGTTCTTATGTACTAGGTATGGTGAGAGTAGGCGGTGGTTGTAGTGCAAACCAGGAAAACAGTCTACAGTGATAATGTAGCTCCTCCACAGATACAGTAGTGAAGTAGCATTAATATCTCCCTACACCAGGAAGTGTGTTACTGATATCACCAGTTGAAAATAAAGGCAAAAAGAAAGTGGCTAATATAATTTATTTTCTGAATCGTGCTCCCAAAGTGAAAACCCGAACATAAGGCCGGAATCTATTTTCTATAGATCCTCCACCTATATTATAACTGCACGTGTTCGACCTCCTTTCTTCCTGCACCTCAGTGAACCGGTTCGCGCACTAATCATGAACAGCCAATCACAGGACAGTACGCTCTCCCGCCCGCGCTAAAGTGGCGGCAGTCCTAGCAAAGACCGCGCATATTCTGTATCTGGAATAGGGGGATTTAGCGATTAAACCATAACGAATAACGTCGTTTATTCGGTAACCTTTTATTAAATTCATAAAAGGTGAATGTTTTTACAGCCCGATTTCTGATATACCAATATGTAAAAAACAAAAGTGCATCTGTCGAGAAGGAAGTAGATGGTACAGTCCGTCCTGCTCATGAATTATTCATGCAGTGGGCGAGGCGACACTGGCTATATAAGCAGGAGCCCAGAGATTATTGCGCACTCCGCATTGCTGTTTTCTGACTGTTCTACACGGTTCACGTGGATAAGGTAATGTACCGCTGGTGGTCGGGGGAGTGGAGGATTCGGTTATTATTTGGTCTCTACGTGTGTTTTACACTGTAAGCATGCTCGGGCGGTTTCTTTTAGTGGTAATGTGATGTTCATTGTACAGATGGGGTTTCTCCTATTTGTGTACACGGGGTTGGGTGCTGGGACTGCATTCCCGTGCTGTCAGCAGAAGTAGCGTTGAAGTCCTGGCTTCTCCTTGGGCGCCTGTTCCCGGCGTCGGTTGCTACCGGGTAGTGGCCGGTGACGCAGTGGGGAGGATCTTGCGGGGAAGTGACGAATAATGGTCGGCGGCCATTTTGTGAACACGTTGGGCTCATGTGCCGGCGCCATTTTGTCTCCTCGCAGATCTCATCATGTCGTCTAACGAAGGAAAGCTTTTTGTCGGTGGCCTTAGCTTCGACACAAACGAGCAGAGCCTAGAAGAAGTATTCGGTAAATACGGACCGGTCAATGAAGGTGAGTTTATATGCATATTTTAATTTCATTTATGGCTTCATTTTCCGTGCATGGGCTTTGTGACACTTCTTGTATGTCTTTTTAGTGGTTGTGGTGAAAGATCGGGAAACCAACAGATCTCGTGGATTTGGTTTTGTCACATTTGAGAATCCTGACGATGCAAAGGATGCTATGGAGGCAATGAATGGAAAGGTAAGCACTTGGTCATGGCAAAATGTAGTTATGAATTTATTTTTTGGTTTATTTTCTAATGCAACCTTCTGTTTTTAGTCCGTGGATGGGCGTCAGATTCGGGTTGATCAGGCAGGAAGGTCCTCTGGTGACAGAAGAGGAGGCTACAGAGGCGGCTCATCTGGAGGAAGAGGGTTCTTCCGTGGAAGCAGAGGTCGTGGTGTGTTTTAATAGTTGTCAGTCTTTTAGTTCCATGTTCTAAAGGTTTGCAGATAAACATGGATGGATGGATGAATGCTTGTTTGCCCTAAACCCTTTCTGATGGCCATTTAGGCTTTGATTTTTCCATGGGCTTGTTGATGTGATTGAGAGCCCATCCAGCTGCTCCTGGTGGGTCACCATGTGATTGAGAGCAAGCCTGCTCCCTGTGCTGCATGTTGCCTTGCATATGTGGTGTGGATAATGGTCTCTGCTGTCGTGTGGTGGGTATGGGTTAACAAAGTATGTGTATGCATGGTTAATCATGTAGTGAATTATATTAGCTTCAATGCCAAAGCAGATGTCTGACTTTAATATTTAAAACTTTTCAATGTATTTGATTTTAGTTTTACTTTTTTATTAGGGGTGGTCTTTCATAGATGGAGTCTAAAATTAAATGAGGTTCACTTTTTAAAGGCTTTGCGTTTAATCGGTCTTGTAGTACTAAAGGCTGTGTTTTTGACCTTTAATCCATTCCCTGCCTGAACTTAAACACCCAGTACCTGTGTCTCTGTACTGCCCCCACCTGTGAAGACTCCTGGTTGTGGGGGAGGATACTGAGCAGTAGAACCATCCTTCTGCCACTAATCTGTGGGAGGAGCGGGGGCTGTCGATGCGCACGGCTACATGCTGGGACTGCTGAAAATGTGTGTGCCCACACAGGTGGAGCTTAGCAGATTTAGGCACATGGGCGGGGGGATGAGCGATGCAGGGACTCCCTAGAAACTGACCGATTTTAAGTGTTTGCCTGCCATGAATAAAGTTTTAATGTCACTGGAACCCCAGCTAACCTAGGGTAGTACTTTCTTTACTAACCCAGATATTTTATTTTTTTTGTTTACAAAGTTCCAGGTGACTTCTTTTACATTTGCACATGTGAGCCATGGCCCATCAATTTCTATTGCAAGCCATGCTCATGGCAGCCATCACTCTGCTTATGGCTTGTATATGGAAAAAGTCACCTGGGACCTTGTTGGATGAAAGATTGCTGGACTGGGAATGCAAGTATTGCCTCAGCTGTGATTGCCCTCGGGAAAGTGTGTGTGTGGGGGGGGCTGGGGTTATTTAAAGGGACGTATTCACTTAAACCCCTTCCTTCCCTTTGCAGATGTATGTAAAAAAAAAAATAACATGCCAGCAGTGTGCATACAATGGGCATATGATGCTGCTGTGTAAGAGGCTAGAAACTTTTTCTATTTTGGGCTTTGGAAGTTGACTAAGTTGAACATTTATTGAATAAGGCAGTGCAGCCATGTAATGCATCCAAAGGCTAAAAGTAAAACCTGCTGTGAAAGGTGCTTGTATGCATGGCGTATTGGCACATTATGGCAGTTTATACTGCCAAAGGGATCTTGATTCTGAGCATTCAGACCCCAGTTTTGATTCCCCATAATTGGTAGCGTGCGACCACGTGAGTGGACACACAGGTACTGGGCATTTACCCTAATGTGGAGAATGTATTTAGTAAAAAGAAACTTCCAGACCTTAAGGTTTAATTCACACCTAGGTGGCAGTGTTTGTAGGTGCGTTAGCAGCATGCAGTTTGCATTTTTATGTACATTATGCATATTTTGATGCGTTTCTTAACGTGTAAATGAAGACGCGTGTGACTGTTCATAAAACATTGTGGGCAGTGGAGGAACACGCATAAACCCTTAGTAAAATTCTGCAGTGTGTTCAGGCATTTCCAATGAAGTCTTTGGCGCAACAACATGCTTTTAACTGCCCAAAGCTCATGTACCTCTTTTGACATTTGGCTTTTTCCTGCTCAGGTGTGAACCAGAGCCATTAAATCATAGAATAAAGCATTTAAAATCTCTTTCGAACTGCTCAAACTCCTAGGTGTGGACCAGGCTACTTACTGTAGTAGAATGCATTGAATACAACTAGATAGTGAGATCTACCAGCACAGTACAGGCAGGGTTAATATTAACCTGCTCAGCCTTCCTTGCCTTTCAGAGCGAAACTCAGTATAGAGAACTTTTCGCCTGTACCTGGGTATGGTTTTTAGTTGTAAATGTTGAAAGTTGCTGACGGATGTACTTTTTAATTGAGCTACATAAAAGCTAACATGAAATATTATGATTGGTTAAGGTGGTGGTGACCGTGGTTATGGAAGCCGGTTTGACAGCAGCAGGAGTGGAGGCTATGGTGGTGGATCCCGGGATTATTATAGCAGGTATGTTTTTGACTTTTTTTTTTTTTTTTCCCCAAGTTGTTTTGCAAGTAGTCATCTAGGTCTGGGTTTTTCTCTTAACTTTTTTATTTTATTTTTCTATTATCAGGAGTCAAGGAAGTTATGGTGATCGCTCAGGAAGCTCCTACAGAGACAGTTATGACAGCTATGGTAAGTAGAGCCAAAGGGGTGTGAATATGAGGCTTTTGGAGGGCTTATCTCTAGTATCTGGAAGAGCTTACCTTTTTAATTGAGAACTTTTGGGAAAGTTCTGCAGTATAAGCTGGTGTGACACCAGCTGTCACACGCCAGCTCTATAGCGCGAGAACCAAGCGATCAGAAACTGCTGATCATTCAGCTCATGCCTTCTCCCTGCAGAGGGCGGTGCCTTAAATACACGGCTTCCTGCAGCGACAGCTGGCTCTACAGAGTATTGGGTAGTATGGGAATCTTTCCCAGCTGCAGCGCAGCTCTGTGCTGTCAGCATATAATGGGCTATATGCTGATTTTGGGTCACAGGAGTACATTAGTAAATGTACTCCAAAAAAAGTCTACAGTTCAAGTCTCAGCAGCCCAACAAATGCATGTGTAATAATCTTTCCAGGTTTAAAGGCTAAGGCTTAGTCCATCTTTTGGAGCATGATTCATGGTACACCCATATTCGGGTGACTTGAAGCATGGTTCCATTCCTTGACCTGTGGGTTGATTCTCACACATTTATACCAGGTATTTATATAGAGCTTACAAGTTATGCAGCACTAAATGTCAAGTTTTGCCTATATACAAACAAAGGAATGAAGTTGAGTATTTCAAGATTAGAATTGCACAGCATAGTGGTACCATGTCAGACTATTTAAGGAGTGGCTTGAAGGTCCCATCTGCTGCTGGCAGCAGAGCAGTGATGGCACAGCACTTGTAGTTCATTACTTCCTCTAGCCACGTAACAGGTTTATACCTCTTAATAACCATTTTGTTGGTGCATATATTGCATTTACAAAAGGTGGACTATGCTTTAAAGACCTAAAAGCACTATTAGCAGTGGGCTTTGTGGGTTGGGCTTAGTGTAGGGGTGTAATGCTGGGATCTGACGTCTTCAAGTGTCTTTACAACTGTGCCTGCTTCTTGTCCTCAGCCTCACACGACTAAAATACCTTCCTGACTCAAGATCGTCCTTCCAATGGCTGTATTTATAAAGATTTTTGGAGCTTCGTTGAATCATTAATGTGTAGTATGTCAACTTGCGTTCACTTTTTTTATATGAACTTGGTTAATTTTGACAGCCTTACTAGTAGAATGTGGAACATCTGTTCCAAAAGGTGTTGTCCTTGAGGCACGCTTATGTTTACTTTTGTTTCATGCTCTTCTGTTCCATTTAGGCTGCAGATATGTGAAGCTCTTATTGTAAATGAGAAGGTTCATGCTGCAGTAACTAGCTTTGCTCTGCAAATGGGAGTGATGCTTCTATATTGGCATCCCTATAAATGGGTATGCCTACCACTACTGTGTGGTCTTGATTGGATCTAATTTTTGCTGTTATGTAAATAGTCATGGGATTTGAAACCCATGAGCTTTATTTTAAGCTCTTGTTTTGAAAATGGCTTTTTAGAGTGAGGTAGAGCTGAGTCTGGGTGCGCTGCAAAGGATAGCTGTACCACCTTGATATAACTAAAGTGAACAAATGGATCTGTCACAAGACTTTCTTAAAATTCTTGTTTGTATTGTCCTTTTTATACAAATATTTTTTTGAATACTGTACTGAAGTGGTTACAGAATTGTATTTACTTTCTTTTTGGCTTCACGAAGCCTATTAAAAGACAGTCTGAAAAGAAATGTGCTCCTGAAATTACCTTCTGCACAACACTGAAGTGGGACTTCACATTACTGGGGGAAAAGCTTTGGCAAATTACTATAAGAGTGATCGCAAGGACTGTATGGAACACTACCTAGACGTTTAATGGAAACACAATACAGAAATCTATAGGAAAGGCAACAAATGAGTCTCAAGGTATTGGACCATCAATGCTGATTTGAAGGTGGTTGAGCTTTTATTAAAACTTGTAGAAATATGGGAGTTGTCATTAAGTTATTAAACAAGTGCAGGCTCTGGGGTTATCATGAGTTACTGACTGTCACTGGTCAGTATATCACTAGCTTGTGAAGCAATGGATGAAAACACTAAAGCCAACTTTGGCTGCTACCATACTTGGTTTTTGCATGTTCACTTACTTTATGTAAAGTTGTGGTCCTGCAACAGTTACTCATCCGAAAGATGTATTATCACAACAAATGTGGAAAGTTCATGCATGCAGAAACCAGTTTGGTTGCACAAGGTGGCAAACATGGCCATTCATGAGAAACTTATGACACGTTACAGAACTAGTGTGTCCTATGGACAGCTTGGCATGAATTTAGGGTTTGTTCATATATGGACTGAAAAGCTTAAGGTTTGGATATTTATGGTAATCTGTCATGAAGCCAAACACTAGTATGATCAGGCAAGAGTTCTGCCATATACCAGTTTTAGAGCAGTGAAGCCAAATCTATTTTATGGGTCTCGGCCCAGGAGTTGTGTGGCACACAAGTTAGTAGTACTGCTGTTTAAATTTGGGGATGCACAGAAACTACGGCCACTGAAATATTCTGAAAATGGTACTTTGGGCAGTAAAATGCTGTTGGTACCATAACTGCTGAAAATTCAGTGCATCCTTGGCTTCTCTCCTCCCTGCTGGACACCAGTCTGTGTCACCTCTGATGCTTGCTGCTCTCCCATGCCCGTCAGCAGATTCAGTGGGGTCCAAGGGCACAGAGGATCCAGCTGCCTGCACTCGGTAGGGAGGAGAGAAGCTTTCAGGAAGCAGAGCCACCGGGAGGAGAGGGCTGTCGCAGGAGGCACAGCCATCCTTCTGCAACACCCCACTCGGCCTCCTGTGACAGGCGGAGGAGTCGGGATGGAGAGCGAGTTATAAGCACTCGGCGATCAGGGCTCTGAGTGTTGTAAATAACTGAGGACAGAGTTTGCTTGCAGTGTCCCCGTTATGAATTAACAGGAGTGCTCTTCCTCACTTCCTGTTCATAATTGTGGACATAGTAATTTGTACTATTTCCAGTTTATGAATGGACAGGAGCACTTGGTATAGAGGCTTCCTGTTCATTCATAACGGGCTGCAGAAAGATTTAGACTGTCCTCTAATCTATTTTTAAAGGGAAATATCGGGGGGTCTGTTAGACTCCCCAATGCCCCAACAGTAAAGTTAAAAAAAAAATGTTAGATTGAAAAATAATCCAGTTTCAGCCTGACCATTTTTATTTTCAGTTTCGGTCTATATTTCATTTCTGTGCATCCCTAGTTTAAATATTGCTTTATGACAGTTTGTTGTATGAGCAAATACTGAAATTGCCCGTTCTTTTTGGGTTTCGGTTTACCCATGGTTTTTTTTTCAAAGCCTATCCACATTTTGAGCTGGATAGTGGCACCTTTTCAGTCTTATTGCTGTAACCTCATATGCTAGAAGCCATAAACCTGAGAAATTTGCCACTCTATCCAAAGCTAACATGTTTTAGATTTAGTTGGGACATTAGAAATGTTTGTCACTTCACAAGTTTGTATCCTATTGCACTTTTTATGCATTAAGGTTGTCTTCAACTCTGCTTGGGTTTGACAAATTTGTAGCTTTGTCTAAACTTGTCATGTCCAAGCTACTAATGTGCAATTAATGTGTGGCTTCTGCTGCAAGTCTACATTATAGTATAGTGTGCCTCATTTAAAAAGGCATAGGTGTCTAATACCAAAAAAGTACTGGTAAAAGTAATGTTAGTACAACACTGTTGCCTTTTAAGAATCCTCTATTAAAGTACAGAAGTTGCAGTTTCCTTGGAGAAGTCAAGTGTTGTGCATCCTGTGGAGCCTGTCGAAAGCTGCTCATGGCTAGTTCATATGCGGAATTAGTCTGGTTATTGGAGGTAACTCTTTTGCTCATGTCCACATCCCTCTTCCTCAAGCTCATGTTGTGCCTGTGAAACACAATTAGATTGCTTACTGAACTTGATACTGTTGTCCTTTTACAACATAATTGGCAAACATCCTTTTGGATAGTCAACAGTCAAGTTCCATCTAAAATATTCCCAGATCTTTCCTATGTTGGGGTATTGTTTCAGGCGCTACCAGTAATCAATGTATTTGCAATTCCTCTTAAAGAAAACAAAGTACCTAGCATTAATGAACCAGACTTGGCCCCACCCTTTAGACATTTTCTATTTTCATATTTGAGAAGTAAAAGTGGCTTTTATGTTAAGATTGTATTTTCTCTTTTCAGGTTGACCATGAAAACTAATTTTTCTGGTTTTTGGATTACTGTCAATGCACTTGGGCATTTGTGATTGGAAATATAGGTAAGTGGACCTAGTTGGGGAACACAAATGGCATTGCTAATATAGTCTTGCTAAGGTTTAATTTTGGTTGATTTAGTATAACACAAGCTGACCTGAACTTGTATGTGCTTATTTAAAATTCTAGAAATGCAAACAAATTAAACATTGGAGTCAGAGGTGCTTTTAAACTAGTACTAGGACTCTGGGCTTTGATGCCCAGTGTGTATGTATTCAAAATGACCAGGAAGTGAGGTGTGAATCCTCCGACCCACAAATTCAAAGCATGCTGCTTATTAAGCACACTTTTTTTTCCCACCATGCACCAAGCACACCAGTTACTTTTCTAGTCACAAATGGCAGTTCTGAATTGCATTTCAAGCCCTCAAATGGCTGTTGCCATAGCTGATCACATGTTGCACCATGGCAACTGCAGATCTAAAGATGGCTGTCCACTGTAGAAGATGAAAGGGTTTAATTCTCAAGTTGGCTTTACTTTAACAGTCACACTGGCTGTCAAGATTCCTAGACGTTTGCCACAGACTTGCTCATTTTTGCATTTTTATAAACTAATAAACAGGGCTTAAAATCTGCGTCTGTGACGAGAGGACGGTGGAGCCAGACGAGCAGCTTGCCGGGAGCTTTACAGTCAAGCGATGGAGCGTCTCGAGAGACGCTCCATCGCTTGTATCAGCTGTTGTCACTGCCGTTGTCAGTCCCGAGATCCGCTGTGCACGATGCGGCCGGTACCGCCACTGCTCTGTGACACAAGATCAAAGGGAGTTCATTATACGAACTCCCTTTGATCTCCTCTCAGTCCCCAAATGCAGGAAGTGATGTATATTACATCACTTCCTGCATTCAGTGTCACTCCAGCTACAGAAGCTGATGAAGCCGATCTCTGCTTCATCAGCTTCTCTGGAGGTCCCTAGGTGACATTAGGGGTCTTGGAGACCCCTGATGTCTCCATAAAGAGGACCTGTCATGTAAATTGGGGCTTCTTAGCCCCCCATGTAATGGCAATAAAGTAATACAAAAATGAAATTCATTAAAAATAATAAAGCATAACATAAATTTTTTTTTAAAACATTGATGCGCTGTAAAACGCCCAGCAATTGAAATCCCATTATTTCCTATGGGCATGGTTGTCACTTGGGCGTATTTCAGCGTGTTGGAACGTGCTGAAAAACGCCCTATGCATCCATTAGGAAACAGCCGGATAGCCCTGGTAAATGCGCGTTTGAGGGCTGCAAATCACGGTTAAAACATGCACCCCAAAACGCGCGTCATACATGCATATTTCGAACGCCTAGGTGGGAACCCAGCCTGGAGAACTGAGATGAGTGCTTTTCACTCACCTCATAGTTCTAGCCGACCTGTGACAATGAGACTGTCACAGGTCTGCTCAGTAGATCACGAGGTGAGTGAACACATACCGGCTTTCGCTCACTTCTCGATCCTGTCACGGCTCTCTGCCATGACGGGAGGGGCTGGATTCCCCCCGATCCGCCAGCGCTGACTGGTGGAATGGATGAGGGGGGGGCAGGTACATATCTAGAGGCTGAGCCAGCTGTCACACGCAGCTGGGCAGATCCAGACATAATTGTCGGGATCCGCTTCAGCTGCGGCGTCAGTATACCGCGAGCAGCAGCTACCTATATACTGAGCTTAGGGTGACGGAAGGACGCTAGTTTGTGTCCTCCCGTTACCCTAAAGAGAACTATGGGGGAAATCCCTAACCCCATAGTTCTCTAATCACAAACACTAAACTGATGAACAGGAAAAGCGTTTTAATAGTCGCCTATGGGATTTTTTTTTTTGCGGGAGCACGCAATTTTAAGGCTTGACATGTTTGGTGTCTATTTACCCTGACTTTTATGTTTTACTAAAAATATGGGTAAGAATAAATGTTTTTTATAACGTAGGGAAACTT